AACAGGTTTGTCTTGAAATCTATCCGGCATTGCATCACTGCAAAGGAAAGAGAAGGCTTGCAAGGGATGCAGACCCTTTTTTTGGAAATTGCATCCTTTGCTCCAAGGTGCTTTTTGCTTTTCCGCCGATCGCACGCTGGGTGAGTAGGTGGCATTCTGCGCACGTCCCTTTGCACAGTCATTTCTTAGCTCTGTGGCGGCTTGAGCTGCCTGGCACATGGATGCCACCTGTGCAGGCTCTGCTAGCCTCAGAATCTCAGGTGGCAGCCCATCAACAGGTACCCAGGTTGGCAGAGCAGATGGCCAAGTGTCCCCTGCTTTGGATGCCACCTGTGCAGGCTCTACTAGCCTCAGAATCTCAGGTGGTAGCCCATCAACAGGTACCGAGGTTGGCACAGCTTGGTCTGCCCACTACAGATGGCCAAGTATCCCCTGCTTTGGATGCCACCTGCGAAGGCTCTGCTAGCCTCAGAATCTCAGGTGGCAGCCCATCAACAGGTACCCAGGTTGGCACAGCTTGGTCTGCCCATTGCAGATGGCCAAGTGTCCCCTGCTTTGGATGCCACCTGTGCAGACTCTGCTAGCCTCAGAATCTCAGGTGGCAGCCCATCAACAGGTACCCAGGTTGGCAGAGCAGATGGCCAAGTGTCCCCTGCTTTGGATGCCACCTGTGCAGGCTCTGCTAGCCTCAGAATCTCAGGTGGTAGCCCATCAACAGGTACCCAGGTTGGCAGAGCAGATGGCCAAGTGTCCCCTGCTTTGGATGCCACCTGTGCAGGCTCTACTAGCCTCAGAATCTCAGGTGGTAGCCCATCAACAGGTACCGAGGTTGGCACAGCTTGGTCTGCCCACTACAGATGGCCAAGTATCCCCTGCTTTGGATGCCACCTGCGAAGGCTCTGCTAGCCTCAGAATCTCAGGTGGCAGCCCATCAACAGGTACCCAGGTTGGCACAGCTTGGTCTGCCCATTGCAGATGGCCAAGTGTCCCCTGCTTTGGATGCCACCTGTGCAGACTCTGCTAGCCTCAGAATCTCAGGTGGTAGCCCATCAACAGGTACCCAGGTTGGCAGAGCAGATGGCCAAGTGTCCCCTGCTTTGGATGCCACCTGTGCAGGCTCTACTAGCCTCAGAATCTCAGGTGGTAGCCCATCAACAGGTACCCAGGTTGGCAGAGCAGATGGCCAAGTGTCCCCTGCTTTGGATGCCACCTGTGCAGGCTCTACTAGCCTCAGAATCTCAGGTGGTAGCCCATCAACAGGTACCGAGGTTGGCACAGCTTGGTCTGCCCACTACAGATGGCCAAGTATCCCCTGCTTTGGATGCCACCTGCGAAGGCTCTGCTAGCCTCAGAATCTCAGGTGGCAGCCCATCAACAGGTACCCAGGTTGGCACAGCTTGGTCTGCCCATTGCAGATGGCCAAGTGTCCCCTGCTTTGGATGCCACCTGTGCAGACTCTGCTAGCCTCAGAATCTCAGGTGGTAGCCCATCAACAGGTACCCAGGTTGGCACAGCTTGGTCTGCCCATTGCAGATGGCCAAGTGTCCCCTGCTTTGGATGCCACCTGTGCAGACTCTGCTAGCCTCAGAATCTCAGGTGGCAGCCCATCAACAGGTACCCAGGTTGGCACAGCTTGGTCTGCCCATTGCAGATGGCCAAGTGTCCCCTGCTTTGGATGCCACCTGTGCAGACTCTGCTAGCCTCAGAATCTCAGGTGGCAGCCCATCAACAGGTACCCAGGTTGGCACAGCTTGGTCTGCCCATTGCAGATGGCCAAGTGTCCCCTGCTTTGGATGCCACCTGTGCAGACTCTGCTAGCCTCAGAATCTCAGGTGGTAGCCCATCAACAGGTACCCAGGTTGGCAGAGCAGATGGCCAAGTGTCCCCTGCTTTGGATGCCACCTGTGCAGGCTCTACTAGCCTCAGAATCTCAGGTGGTAGCCCATCAACAGGTACCCAGGTTGGCAGAGCAGATGGCCAAGTGTCCCCTGCTTTGGATGCCACCTGTGCAGGCTCTACTAGCCTCAGAATCTCAGGTGGTAGCCCATCAACAGGTACCGAGGTTGGCACAGCTTGGTCTGCCCACTACAGATGGCCAAGTATCCCCTGCTTTGGATGCCACCTGCGAAGGCTCTGCTAGCCTCAGAATCTCAGGTGGCAGCCCATCAACAGGTACCCAGGTTGGCACAGCTTGGTCTGCCCATTGCAGATGGCCAAGTGTCCCCTGCTTTGGATGCCACCTGTGCAGACTCTGCTAGCCTCAGAATCTCAGGTGGTAGCCCATCAACAGGTACCCAGGTTGGCACAGCTTGGTCTGCCCATTGCAGATGGCCAAGTGTCCCCTGCTTTGGATGCCACCTGTGCAGGCTCTGCTAGCCTCAGAATCTCAGGTGGCAGCCCATCAACAGGTACCCAGGTTGGCAGAGCAGATGGCCAAGTGTCCCCGCCTCTGGATGTCACCTGTGCAGGCTCTGCTAGCCTCAGAATCTCAGGTGGTAGCCCATCAACAGGTACCCAGGTTGGCACAGCTTGGTCTGCCCATTGCAGATGGCCAAGTGTCCCCTGCTTTGGATGCCACCTGTGCAGAGCTCTGCTAGCCTCAGAATCTCAGGTGGCAGCCCATCAACAGGTACCCAGGTTGGCAGAGCAGATGGCCAAGTGTCCCCTGCTTTGGATGCCACCTGTGCAGGCTCTACTAGCCTCAGAATCTCAGGTGGTAGCCCATCAACAGGTACCCAGGTTGGCAGAGCAGATGGCCAAGTGTCCCCTGCTTTGGATGCCACCTGTGCAGGCTCTGCTAGCCTCAGAATCTCAGGTGGTAGCCCATCAACAGGTACCCAGGTTGGCAGAGCAGATGGCCAAGTGTCCCCTGCTTTGGATGCCACCTGTGCAGGCTCTGCTAGCCTCAGAATCTCAGGTGGTAGCCCATCAACAGGTACCCAGGTTGGCAGAGCAGATGGCCAAGTGTCCCCTGCTTTGGATGCCACCTGTGCAGGCTCTGCTAGCCTCAGAATCTCAGGTGGTAGCCCATCAACAGGTACCCAGGTTGGCAGAGCAGATGGCCAAGTGTCCCCTGCGTTGGATGCCACCTGTGAGGGCTCTGCTAGCCTCAGCATCTCAGGTGGCAGCCCATCAACAGGTACCCAGGTTGGCACAGCTTGGTCTGCCCAATGCAGGTGGCCAAGTGTCCCCTGCTTTGGGTGCCACCTGCGCGGGCTCTGGACCGAATGGCCTTAAGTATTTTCTGTTGGTCTTGGGGATTCTGTGTGGGATGTTTGCCCCAATTCTGTCATTGGTGGGGTTCAGAATAGTCTTTGAATATAGGTGAACTATAAATCCTAGTAACTACAACTCCCAAACATCAAGGTCTATTTCCTCCAAACTCCATCTGTGTTCTTATTTGGGCATATGGAATATTCGTACCAAGTTTGTTCCAGATCCATCATTGTTTGAGTCCACAGTGCTCTCTGGATGTAGGTGAACTACAACTCCCAAAACTCAAGGTCAATGCCCACAAAACCCTTCCAGTATTTTCTGTTGGTCATAGGAGTTCTGTGTGCCAAGTTTGATTCAATTCCATCATTGGTGAGTTCAGAATGTTCTTTGATTGTAGGTGAACTAAAATCCCAGCAACTACAACTCCCAAATTACAAAATCAATTTTTGAGTGAAGGACATACATTGGGTTGTTAGGCATCTTGTGTCCAAATTTGGTGTCAATTCGTCCAGTGGTTTTTGAGTTCTGTGAATACCACAAACGAACATTACATTTTTATTTATATAGATTATTTGAAACACAACAAGATGAGTCCACAGCAGACACTCTGCTGGCTGTTGTATTGGATCACACGTCAGACGCTTCCCAAGTGTCTAGGACTGTGTGATGTATTTCTAAGCTAAAGAGATGGTGTTGTCCATAGACACCTCCGAGGTCATGCGGCTGCATGACTGCATGGAGAGCCATTACCTTCCCGCTGGAGCGGTACCTATTGAGCTACTCACATTTGCATGTTTTCGAACTGCTAGGTTGACAGAAGCTGGGGCTGATAGCGGAAGCTCACACCGCTCCCCGGATTCGAACCTGCGACCTTTTGGTTAATAAGTTTAGCAGCTCAACGGTTTAACGCACTGCGCCACCGGTGGCTTCAGTTATTATTACTATTACTATTATTATTATTATTATTATTATTATTATTATTATTATTATAATAAACACAACAAGATGAGTCCACAGCAGACAAGATCCCTATGCTTGCTGTTGTATTGGATCACACGTCGGACACTTCCCAAGTGTCTAGGACTGTGTGATGTATCGGTGAATAATGCATGCAGATCCCAGTAGGGTGGCCTTCTGCAGCTGGCAGATGGTAATTTTGTCAGCGCTGATTGTGTTTAAGTGCAGGCCAAGGTCTTTAGGCACTGCACCCAGTGTACCGATCACCACTGGGACCAAATTTACTTGTGCCAGAGTCTTTGCAGTTCAATCTTTAAATCCTCATATCATGTCAGCTATTGTTGTTGTTGTTGTTGTTGTTGTTATTTCTCCCCTTCCCACCCTTCCAAGGGTTGCTGCAATCACCCCATAACCCCATCCCCACCCCATTGTTGAGCTCTGGCATTGGTCTGGCATCTCCAAAACAGACCTGGCTGACTCGCCATACCTTCCAGAGTCTTGCTTGGAAAATTGAGCTGCCAAGACCGAAACCATGCCAGACGTGGAGAACTTGTGTGTGTCACTGGGAGTGAGCCCTCATGATGGTAGCCAGCATTGCGCACTCAGCGTCAGGCACAATGACTCAGAGTGTGCCACTCAAATGTTTCCTAAACCTCTAACCAAGGGGAATATGTGTACTTGTCAGTTTTGGCAGATGCACCCTTGCCCTCAGATTCCTCCCAGACTTCCATCCCTGTGACAGCTCTGCTTTCCTTGACATATTCCACCCAATGCGCACTCTTCCTGCCTTCTCACATGCACCCTTGCTCTGCCTCCCCACTCTCCAGGGCACGGACATCCAGAAGAAGATTGACCATGAGATCCGGATGCGGGAAGGCGCTTGCAAGCTGCTGGCGGCCTGCACCCAACGCCAGCAAGCCCTGGAGGTCACCAAGAGCCTGCTGGTCTGCAACAGCCGCATCCTGGCATACATGGCTGAGCTGCAGCGCATGAAGGAGGCGCAGGTCATGCAGCGCATGGCCCGGCGGTGAGTACTAGCAAGGGCATTCATGCAGATTTGAACATATTTGTTTGGAACACACACAGAGAGAGCATGGATGCTGCAACTCGATTGTCAGGTCATAACTATCCAAAGTCTTGAGGTCTCTGAGCCAAACCTGATGGGTCACAAGTCACTAGTGGCATCATTAAGCATCACTCAATTAAGCACCAAGAGGAAAAGGAGCCTCACCACACTTCGGGGCAGAGAGTTCCACTGCTGAACGGTTCTCACAGTCAGGAAGTTCTTCCTCATGTTCAGATGGAATCTCCTCTCAATGGCTTCAAACTACAAGAGAGGAGATTCCATCTGAACATGAGGAAGAACTTCCTGACTGTGAGAGCCGTTCAGCAGTGGAACTCTCTGCCCCGGAGTGTGGTGGAGGCTCCTTCTTTGGAAGCTTTTAAACAGAGGCTGGATGGCCATCTGTCGGGGTGATTTGAATGCAATATTCCTGCTTCTTGGCAGGGGGTTGGACTGGATGATGGCCTAGGAGGTCTCTTCCAACTCTTTGATTCTATGATTCTATGATTCTATGAAGAGAGAGCATGGATGCTGCAACTCGATTGTCAGGTCATAACTATCCAAAGTCTTGAGGTCTCTGAGCCAAACCTGATGGGTCACAACTCACTAGTGGCATCACTAAGCAAGACTCATTAAGCACCAACAACATTTGTACAGGGCATGCTGTAACGAGGCCACCAGTTTGTAACGGTTTGTAAAGGAGCCACCACTTTGTAAGGACTTGCTAAATTGATAACACAACTAATAGCTTGTAATATTGATTTAGTCTTTCTTCAATGTGTAGCGTGGCTTAACTTTAAAGTATTTGTAACAGAGACTTGGCTTTAGAAGAGACTGTAAACAAGTTTATTGAAGTATAGAAGAAGCTTGATGGTTTCAATGTTTCTTAACTCTTAGAGGCACATATCTTCAGAGGTTACATTTATAACTTTTCATAAAACAACTCTTAAGAGGACTATTCCTTCCACTAAACAGTTTTCGAACTTATTTTCCTTCAAAATGTGTTTTTTTCTTTAACAAATTGCTCCAGGCACAAGCTTATTATTTCCTTATATTATTTCTGTTGCAGTAAAGATTCTTATTAGGGTTCTCTCCCCCTTTTGCTCATATACTGACTAATTTATCTATTTACAGTATTTATATTCTGCCCTTCTCACCCCACAGGGAACTCAGGGCGGATTACAATGTACACATATATGGCAAACATTCAGTGCCAATTTGACACACACCGTATACAGACATACACAGAAGTATTTCCGCATTCCCGCTTGCTTTTGCTGGAGTGTGTTGCTGGAGTCTTTTTTGTGGCCTCATAAATTAGTTAATTTAGCCTCCCCACACAAGGTGGTACCTAATTTTCCTACTTGACGGATGCAACTGTCTTTTGTGTTGCAAAGGTCGACAACAGGCTACACAATTGGTTGGAAGCCCACTCCAACTTTGAACTCATGACCTTTTGGTCAGAGTGATCTTAATGCAGCTGACACTCAGCCAGTTGCACCACAATCCCGGTGCTAATAATATAAATAAGTCAACTCGACCTATCTAAACTACACAGGCTAAAAGCCACAACCTTCCTGATTCTCAACACCATAGAATCAGCCTTTCCCTGTAGTTCTTAGACTACAGACTACTTTACTGGTTCTCAACACACAACAGAACCAGCCTTCCCTGTAGTTTGCTGACTACAGACTAACTGTTTGAAAATGGCTGCCCTGCCAAGTGGCAGTTGGCTCCGCCCCTTTTTCCATGGCAACCCAGCTCAAAGTGAGTTGAGCTGTCTACCATCCCCTACATTATGCTAGTTTAAATACTTACCCTTGTAAACACCTATCTATTATTATACATAACTGTAGATTAAAACTCACACTTCACCACACATGCTGTTCAGATTCAAACCTCTTAAGTAATGTTGAAGGCTTTCATGGCTGGAATCACTGGTTTGTTGTGAGTTTTCAGGGCAGCATTCTCTCCTGACATTTCGCCTGCATGTATGGCAGGCTTCCTCAGAGGTTGTGAGGTCTTTTGAAAATTAGGAAAATGGGATTTATATACCTGTGGAATAATGTCCAGGTTGGGAGAAATAACTCTTGTCTGGTTGAGGTAGGTGTGGATGTTTCAATTGGCTGCCTTGATTAGCTTTTAATGGCCTAGCAGAGTCAAGGTCTGGCTTCTTAACTCCTGGGAGAGTCATTTGAAACATTCACACCTACCTCAAACAGACAGGAGTTCTTTCTCCCACCCTGGACATTATACCACAGACATATAAAACCCATTTTCCTAGTTTCAAACAGAGCCCACAACCTCTGAGGATGCCTGCCAGAGATGTGGGCAAAACGTCAGGAGAGAATGCTTCAAGAACATGGCCAACAGCCCAGAAAACTCACAACCCTCTTAAGTATTTAAGTGGTTCCCCAGTGGCGGAATGGGTCAAACCCTTGTACCAGCAGGACTGAAGACCGACAGGTTGTAGGTTCAAATCCTGGGAGAGCGCGGATGAGCTCCCTCTATCAGCTCCAGCTCCCCATGCGCGGACATGAGAAAAACCTCCCGCAAGGATGGTAAAATATCAAAAACACTTAACTTAGGCGCAATGGGTTAACCCTTGTGCCGGAAGAACTGAAAACGGACAGGTTGTAGGTTCAAATCCTGGGAGAGCGTGGATGAGCTCCCTCTGTCAGCTCCAGCTCCCCATGCGTGGACATGGGAGACGCCTCCCGCAAGGATGGTAAAATATCAAAAACACTTAACTTAGGYGCAATGGGTTAAACCCTTGTCCTGGAAGAACTGAAAACAGACAGGTTGTAGGTTCGAATCCGGGGTGAGTGTGAATGAGCCCCCTCTGTCAGCTCCAGCTCCCCATGCACGGACATGAGAGAAACATCCCGCAAGGATGGTAAAAACATAAAAAAAACCATCTGGGCAATATCCCCTGGGCAACGTCCTTGCAGACAGCCAATTCTCTCACACCAGAAGTGACTTGCAGTTTCTCAAGTTGCTCTTGACACGAAAAGGAGATGACAGGGACATTTCCTGGCAGTTCTCTCACCCTGAGATTCCTCATTCTTGTCCTAGGAACTGGAGGAGAGAGGCTTGGCCATAGGGTCATGGAATTCGAATTTAGAGAGAGAGATTTCTTCCTGCAGAAACATTGGCACTTCCTTTCCTTCTGCCGCCTTTTGTTTTCTGGATTTCCCTGCACTTCACTTTAATCGCTCTATTGTCCGAACAAGATTTTGTTTTGTTTCCATCCGGTTCACCATTGTGGAAGACTTATGAATAGTGCATCCTATAGAGTGTTTAAATACTTGTGTGTGTGTGTGCAAAATAGATGGTGCCTCTGCATTAGTAATACTGTTCCCTTTGAGGAGTTTATCATTCTCCATTGTGCATCAAGTCCATTCTCCTGATTTGTGCATAAAGCCTTGGGAAGAAGAGAGAGATTTCAGGAAGGCCTTCTTTGACAAGGTCCCCCACAACCTTCTGGCAAGGAAACGAGTCCAATGTGGGCAAGCGAAAACTACAGTGAGGTGGATCTGGAATTGGTTAAATGGACGAACCCAGAGGGTGATTCTCCCCAAGGCTTCCTCTTCATCCTGGAAAGAAGTGACGAGCGGAGTGCCATCCGCAGGGCTCGGTCCTGTTCAACATCTTGATTAATGACTTAGATGAAGGGCTAGTAGGCAGAATCATCAAGTTTGCAGATGACACCAAGTTTGCAGATGACGCCAATACTCCAGAGGACAGGAGCAGGATTCAGAACAATCTTGACAGATTAGAGAGATGACTGGCCAAAACTAACAAAATGAAGTTCAACAGCAACAAATGCAAGACACTCCACTTAGGCAGAAAAAACGAAATGCAAAGATACAGAATGGGGGACAATGCCTGGCTCGAGAGCAGGACGTGTGAAAAAGATCTTGGAGTCCTCGTGGACAACAAGTTAAACATGAGCCAACAATGTCATGCGGCGACAAAAAAAGCCAATGGGATTTTGGCCTGCATCAAGAGGAGCATAGTGTCTAGATCTAGGGAAGTCATGCTCCCCATGCTCTATTCCGCTCTATTGGAATATTGTGTCCAATTCTGGCCACCACAATTCAAGAGAGATATTGACAAGCTGGAATGTGTCCAGAGGAGGGCGACTCAAATGATCAAGGGTCTGGAGAACAAGCCCTATGAGGAGCGGCTTAAGGAGCTGGGCATGTTTAGCCTGAAGAAGAGAAGGCTGAGAGGAGAGATGATGAAGGCCATGTATAAAATGTGAGAGGCAGTCATAGGGAGGAGGGAGTGAACTTGTTTTCTGCTTCCCTGGAGACTAGGACGCAGAACAGTGGCTTCAACCTACAAGAAAGGAGATTCCACTTAAACATTAGAAAGAACTTCCTGACTGTGAGAGCCGTTCAGCAGTGGAACTCTCTGCCCCGGAGTGTGGTGGAGGCTCCTTCTTTGGAAGCTTTGAAACAGAGGCTGGACGGCCATCTGTCAGGGGTGATTTGAATGCAATATTCCTGCTTCTTGGCAGAATGGGGTTGGACTGGATGGCCCAGGCGGTCTCTTCCAACTCTTTGATTCTATGATTCTATAGCAGTGTAGATGGGGCTACTGACCATATAATGCAATTCAGACAGTATTATTTGGCAGTGTAGATCCAACCTTTGTGTCTGATCCGACTGTTTCTCCCTCTCCCTCCCCACATTGCAGTCCCTCGGATGCCGGCCCCATGGAAGACCGCCTGCCGTGCCGTGGCAAAGTCTGCATCTCTGGTAAGGAGCGGTTTTTATTATGATCGCTTTGTTTACATTTTTGAAAGGATATCATAAGGAAGACGGAGCAGGTTTCCTTTCTGCTGTCCTGTGGACTCAATGGAGCCATGGATTTACTTACTTACTTACTTACTTACTTACTTACTATATTTATATATTTTAAATAATATATTTAAAACATTAAAATATTATGAAACCATAGCAAAGTCATTAACAAACATATTCAAGTTTCAGGGAAGGAGATTCCACTTGGACATTAGAAAGAACTTCCTGAATGTGAGGAGAGCTGTTCAGCAGTGGAACTGTGACGGCGCGAGTGGCACCACCTATGTGTAGAACTGTTGCAAGATTTAAACTGTTGTATCATGCTTAATCCTGCCTTTTTACCCTCCTTATGTATAGTTGGATTGATTGGTTATTTATAGCTGTCAATCATTGTTGTTTGCACCAGTTGACTTGCTTTTTCAGCAAAATTGTTTGGCTCCACCTCTTCCTGGAGGAGTGGAGTGCTTCCCTCTTTCATTCTGCCATCAGAGTTTCTATCAGATGGACGTGAGTAAGAGACTTGGCTCTAAAAGCCCCTGATTAAGTTACCTCTCAGCACCAATTCTGAGGTTCTTACCCTTGAGACTTATGCTTCATGTTCAGACCAACCTGAACAACGTTGGGAAGTCCCAAGTGCCTTCAGACCAGTTCCTTTGGCACCAGAGGAAGACCCTGTGTCTTCAAACATAGGCCATTTGGACTGGGGCTGTGGATTGCTCTGACATTTACAGCCTTTGAGAAAGAGGAACCTGGAAAAGCTTCTCAGCTTCAAAACTCCTTCGACCCAAAACAACCAGAGACTGTAATGTACATTTTCCTTCACCCCTTTGAAACTTCCAGCTTATTGCCTTAAAGAGATAACTTTTGTGAACAATAAAACTTATTTTGAGTTATTTACAGTGTTTGGGTCTTTGGGAGTTCCAGTTTCCTAAAGGAGGGCAAGAAGCAATCCCCTGGGGAAAGATGTCATGTTCATGCCTCTTTCACTAAGAGCTATAGCCCCCAGGCGTGACGGCACAGGAACTCTCTGCTTCAGAGTCTGGTGGAAGCTCCTTCCTTGGAGGCTTTTAATTAGAGGCTGGATCCTGCATGGCAGATGGGGTTGGACTAGATGACCTGTTCTGTCGTGTGCTGGGCCTGTAAATAATTGTCTTTGGAACAGGACGTGCAACCTTTGCCCAGCGGGAAGCCAGGGGGCCCAAGGAGTTCTCCTCAGAGGTTTTCCACCACAAATAGTCTTTAGATGGCTTGTGAAGTATAATGAAGTCTTTTATTAATGAACAATCAAACAGAAACTTCTCTTGTCTTCAATAAAGCTAAACAAATGCTTCCAGGCTTTATGCAACTGGTAACTTCCTAATCTTGCCCACGAAGGACAGGCAACTGTCTTCAATAACTTCTTCTTTACTTTAAAGGAAAATCCCCTTTTTAACTTCTCCCAGGCTGACTGTAATCTAAGCCTTACTGATGTGGGCTCCGCTACCGGGTCGAACTGCATCTCGAAGCACCGAGTGGACCTACCAGTAAAGGCTTAGATATTCTCCAGCTGGAGTCCTTTGGTCTTTCAAACTGTTCACTCTCCAAAATTCCTCAAAACTTTAGGACTGCTTCCCTGGAAATCTTTGGGTGCTCTTAAGATTGTTTTCTCCTGGAAGGTCTTGGATGCTCTTAAGACTGGGTTCCCCTGGAAAGTCTTACGGGTTGAAGCTTTTATACAGGGGAAGCTTGCACACGTCCTGTACATTAGCTTTCCTTGCTGAGACTAACTAAAAATGGCTCCCTTCCCTTCCCAATTGCCCTGAGCAAGGGGGGGCGGGACCAAAACTTAACGATGATGGACAGGAGACTTGCCCTATGACTGCAACCAAAGGAAGCCACCTTCCTGCAGAATCCCTGACTGCAAGCAAACATTTAATAGAAAGCAAATAAAGTGGGAGCTCCTGCTACAGCCATACCAGCACATGACCCATGTGGGTCTCTTCCAACTCTATTATTCTATGAAGAGCATGGAAAGCTTCCCATGAAAAAATCGTGCCACGAAAACCCTCTTTTTTAATAGCCAGGTTGGTGTAGTGCTTTGAGTAGACTTGGGAAGACCAAGGTTCGAATCCAGTCAGAGTTGAGTTTCCCAATGTGATTAATTTGTGCCAGTTTTACAACAGCTTTTGCCATCTTCCAGGATTTTCCTTCCAAATGGCAAATCAGTTGCCTACTGATGTGAGCAGGAACCACGAGACAGGCTGTACTGCTCCCCAGGCCATTCTATTTGCTCATGTATTGAGTCTAATAGGAACAACAAGGTCTGAGTCGTCCCCCCCCCCCCAATGTAGTACACATGAATACAGTCCAATATGTGTTTACTCCAATGTAAACTCACCGGTCTTAATGGGGGGTGTATCTACACTACAGAATGAATGTGGTTTGGCACTGCTTTACCAACCCCTATCTCAATGCTAGAGGATTGTAGTTTTGCAAGGACTTTAGCCTCCTCTGCCAAAGAGAGCTGCTGCCTCACCAAACTACAACTGCCAGGATCCCATAGCATTGAGCCATGGCAGTTGTTTTGTGTGTGTGTGTGTGTCAGAAGCGACTTGAGAAACTGCAAGTCGCTTCTGGTGTGAGAGAATTGGCCGTCTACAAGGACATTGCCCATGGCATGCCACAATGTTTGCTGTTTTACCATCCTGTGGGAGGATTCTCTTATGTCCCTGCATGGGGAGCTGGAGCTGACAGATGGGAGCTCACCCCACTCCCCAAATTTGAATAACTGACCTTTCAGTCAGCAGTCCTGCTGGCACAAGGGTTTAACCCATTGCGCCACTGGAGGCCATGGCAGTCTAATGCTGTCAAACTGTAGTTTGGCTGTACCCAGAGATTGCTTCCTTAAGTGCTTTCTAATCCCATTGGTATCCAGTAGGTTCCACAAAAGGAAGTCTTTCACATGAATATTGATGGCAGCAGCTGGAATTCCATTAATAGTTGGAAAAGCCAAGGCTGCAACTGTGTCGTATTTGCGTCTGGGGAATGTGTCAGCAGAAGAAAAGGCTTCCATTGCAGGAACAAAGCACAGGTCCTGTTTACAACACTGTATGTAGTTTGGAACTGCATTATATGGTCAGTGCAGACTCATGTAGCACAGTGTAACTGCATTATATGTGTCTACAGCAGTGTTTCTCAACCTGGGGGTCGGGACCCCTGAGGGGGTCCTGAGGGGGTGTCAGAGGGGTCACCAAAGACCATCAGAAAACATAGTATTTTCTCTTGGTCATTGGGATTCTGTGTGGGAAGTTTGACCCAATTCTAATTGAGTTCAGAATGCTCTTTGATTGAAGGTGAACTATAAACCCCAACAACCACAACTCCCAAATGTCAAGGTCTATTTTCTCCAGACTCCACCAGTGTTCACATTTGGGCATATTGAGTATTCGTGTGCCAAGTTTGGTCCAGATCCATCATTGCATGAATCCACAGCACTCCTCTGGATATAGGTGAACTACAACTCCCAAACTCAAGGTCAATGCCCACCAAAACCCTTCCAGTGTTTTCTGTTGGTCATGGGAGTTCTGTGTGCCAAGTTTGGTTCAATTCCATCGTTGATGGAGTTCAGAATGCTCTTTGATTGTAGGTGAACTATAAATCCCAGCAACTACAACTCCCAAATGACAAAATCAACCCCCCCAACCCC